AATAGGGCCTGATTGCCCCACAGATCCCAAATTAAACCCACCGGCTATTTGGGTCGTTCCCTTTCTTTTTTTGCTTGACCGGCCCACTTCCACTTCCAGCCCAACTTGCTCTTGATAATATTCAGCAGCATATGAGAGTTGGTGGGCTGACATAGATATATCTTGGGCTTCAACTTCATCCACACTTGGGCCCAAAGAGAGGACAGTGTCCACCTGGCCCTGCACTATTGCCCTACTCGATCCTTCCCCACCTCCATCGCTGATCCATAAGCCCTCCTTGAACGCGGCCGCCGCCGCCACTTCCAGATCAAAATTCAATTTTTTTGCTCCCATCTCAGCTCTGTATCTGCCCTTCCCCCTCACATCACCATAAATATCGGCTGTTGTAGGAGTGATTTCTTCCCTCATCTTTTCCTTCTCGAAACCCGGCGGGAGTGACGGTTCACCAGCCGATTCTGACACTCCTAGTTGGCCATAGGGGTTGTCCGTTGGAGCGTTTGTCCCGAGGAGACTCTGCCTCTCCGATCGAGTTCTTTCTCTCTCCGTCGTTGATCGGGAGAAACCATCCCCCCGCTGAATCCGTGCATTCGCCGGCGAAACTCTTCTCGGCGAGTCAACTCCGGCCTTGAGAGATGAGTTGTAGATCTCAGATAGACCTACCTCTCTATTAACCTTCCTTTCCTCTGCCATCAGCCCACAAGTAGGCCAGTTATGGCCGATCCGGCCGCAGAAGTAGCAAAGCTCGACGAGCCTTTCATACTTGAAAGAAACCCACTCACAGTATTCAATTCCAGTTTTTTCATCAGTGAAAGGGAAGTCGAAGCCAGTAGGGGCTGGCTCTCTCAAGTCGACCTCTACAAGCATTCTGGAGAAGAGTCTGTAGCCGTTGTACTCTAGCCCGCTCCTGTCCAGATCAAGAAATTTGGGGAAGTAATTTAAAATAACATAAGTTTAAATAAAGTACCAATCTCAAATAACTTAGTATCTCAAAGCAAAGCCCTACACACGTGGACAAAACTTAAATGATACTCTTACAAGAAAGAAAGAAATCCCAAGTTCTTAAACTCATAACCATTAAGTCTTAATAACTTAAAGAGTTCTCCAGTGCTTACTCTGATGCCTGGCTCGACATTCCTCAGCGGCTGTGGTGTGGGGCTCCTATAGCTTCCTGATCACGAACTGTCTAGTTGCGATCTCCCCTTCTACGATATGGTGAGTGAGTTGGGGGTCAGTCTACGCCCTACTTAAATTCGAAATGCCTAGGGTTATTCTCTAGGAACTAACCGCAACTTATGCAAATGATTTGTACTTCCGCCTTTCAAACTTTAACTCGTGTAAAATTTATTATTTCATCCTTTATCTTACAATTAACATTCAATGAAGATAAAAATTCTAATTTTATATTAAATAATATGTCTATCCTTTTTTTTTTTTTTTTGATAATGGCGAAACTTGCATTAAGAAGGAAAAAGGAACAAGTACAACAGGGGCATTAGTTCAAAAGAGCTGAACTAAATAGCACCCAACCCAAGTCCAGGAAGACGACCAGAAACAGAAAAGGAAAAGGAGAAGGAAAAAAGGAAAAACCAATAGACCAAAGCTAAAGCCATCTAAGTGGACCAGACCACTTCTGATGGTAGCAAGACAAAGCCAAAACAAAACCAAAAACAAAAACCAGCAGCAAGCATGCTGCCCAGAGCGCAGCAGGAAAGGCAAAAACCGAAAACGCTGAAACCCAGATAAACCCCAACCAACACAGTGCCACTGCCAAGCACCCCCAAACAGAACCCAGCGCACCTATCCCTGCGCCCGGTTACGAAAACTATCCTGCAACAATCCCATTTTATGTTCCATCCACGAAAGGCCATGCTCCCTGGGGACTTTGCCAAGGGCGGTCACCCAACCCAACGCCGCTCTGATCGCTTTCCTCACGACAACCACAGGGGAACTCTTAGAGTCCCTAAAGATGCGATTGTTCCGCTCCAACCAGATCTGCCACCAAACAGAGTGAAGGCTACAATAGTTGATCCAACCCGACACATCCCCGGCCTCATCACACTTCCACCCAACCAGCGTTGACATAGCATCCTCCCTAGGTCGATCCAACCCATCACAAACCCTCTGCATCCAACTCCAGACTTGTCTACTGAAAGCGCAGCCTGAAAAGAGATGATCCACCGATTCCTCGTCCGCACAGCACAGCTCGCATCGGTTCGCCATCACCCATCCTCTCCTCTTCAAATGATCAATGGTAAGGATCCTATGATGCGCCGCCAGCCACACGAACGCACAAATTTTGGAGGGAACCACACGTCTCCAAATCGAGGTGGCTGGGAAATTAGGAACCCCCGGAAAACGCCTGTCTGCAATAGACCTGTACATGGAACGCACAGAAAAAGAGCAATCTGATCGGGGAGCCCAGACCAATCTGCTTGGTCCACTGCTCACCCTATTAGTACCATGAGAGTTCAGGAAATTAATGAGATTAACTCTCTCCCTCTCAGCACCCCCCCTCAAATTAGTAGACAAAGGAATAACCCAGCTAGAGGACTCACCACTGCAGGAAAGGGAAGCGGAGACCCAGGCATCAGGGAATTCGGCAGCAGCAGCGACGCGAGGAAAGGAGTCCGCCAGGGTCGCCTCCGGGATCCACCTATCATGCCAAAAGGACACCCAAGCACCACCACCGGGATCAATATTGGCCCAATTCCAGAACTCATCATACCCCTTCGCAATGTTCACCCAGACAGAGCTCGACGCGCCATGACCACTGCCACCCGTTTTCCAAGAAGAATGGGGGTTGGGGTATTTGATCTCAATCAGAGTGCGCCACCAGCTCCCCTTCTCGACAGCGAAACGCCAAAGCCATTTGGATAACATTGCTTGATTAAAGCTAGCCAAGTCCACAATTCCAATACCGCCATTCTTCTTGGAAGCCTTGCACAAATCCCATTTAACCAACGAGAGTTTAGAGACCTCCCCCGACCCGCTCCAAATAAAATTACGCTGAAGATTTTCCATCCTCTTAATTGCCTTAACAGGAGCTCTGAAAAGAGAGAAGAAATACACAGGTTGGCTAGACAAGACTGATTTATTTAAGACAAGTCTTCCCCCGAGCGACAGATGCCGCCCCCTCCATCCATTCAATCTTCTCTGCATATTAGCGCATACCGGATCCCAAACTGAGGCAGCATTAGGTTTAGCTCCTAACGGAAACCCAAGATACTTAGCCGGCTCACCACTCCAATTGCAACCAAACACAGCCGCCAAGAACTCCGGGTTGGGGACATCCCCAACAGTGAACATAATCGACTTCCCCAAATTAATACGCAGCCCCGTCACTGCTTGAAAGCTCACCAAAGTACCCAGAACACTCATCACTTGATCAACGGAAGCATCACAGAAGATCAAAGTGTCATCCGCAAAAAGCAAATGGGTGACCTCTCCCTGACCGCCGACTTCATCCATACAGAACCCTTTAATTCTGCCATGCTCCTTAAGTCTCGAGATCATGAAAGACAGAATATCCATGACCAGAGTAAAGAGCCCAGGAGACAGAGGGTCGCCTTGCCTCAGACCCTTCGAAGCCGGAAAGAACCCGTTGGCCTCCCCATTCACAAGAACCGAGATCAGTGGGTTACACATCGTCCCACGGATCCACTTCTGCCAAGCCAGAGGGAAACCCAGATGGCTCATGATTTTGAACAGACAATCCCAGCTCACATTGTCGAACGCTTTCTCAATGTCTAATTTGAACATCAACCCCGGTTTTCTGCTCTTACGACGACTGTCCACAAGCTCAAAAGCGATCAGACCCGCATCCGCAATCTGTCTCCCTCTGACCGAAATTGGAGTGATTCGAGAAATATTGAGAATTTGTTGATAAATATATTTAACATGATAAATAAATAAAAGGAAGAGATAAAGTAGGAGAAAAGAAAATCCCGCGAATCAAGATATTGAGTTTCTCTAATTATAAAAGATTTGATATCCGTAGATTTTAGAGATTTGAAATCTCAAAAGTTTAAATTCATAATACAAAAAGCAACAACAATAAAAACAGAATTTATTACAAAATCTACGGATTCAGTCAATCCATAGCCTAAAATCATGTTCTTCAAGCGGACCCCTTAATTTATAAATTATTTTATAGTTTATTTTAAAAGGATTTTACAATGCTTTAAAGCATTGATGCTTTAGTTTTTGCTTTTAGGGCACAATTTGAAGTTGTACCTTTAACGTTATAGTACAACTTTAGGTTTTACCTATACTCTTTCAGTCTTTTGTATAGTCCATTTATGGTACAAATTAAAGTTGTACATTTAAGTTATGGTACAACTTGAAGAGTTGAAGTTGTACCACAACATAAAGGTCAGATTTTCTTATGGTACAACTCTAAGTTGTACTTTTAACGTTATAGTACAACTTCAAGTTGAACTTTTGCATACCGTTTGGTATAAATGAACTCCGTAAGTTTTGTAGAATTCATTTTGAAATGAAACATTTTTGTGTTTGGTATTTAAAAGAATTCATTTTCAATTCTAAATTTTGAATTCTATGGAATTGAAACTAGGTATAGCAATTCCAAGGAATTGAGATGGAATTTCCAAATGAATTCCACAAGTATTTACTGATTATAATAGAATGATATAATTATCTTTTTTATTAATTAAATTACTTATACATATGACATACCAAACACAGAAATTCATTTGATAATGAATTATGCATGGCAATTCATTTTATTTCTAAGGATTTGAATATGACATACCAAACACAAGATTTCATTTGACAATGAATTCTACACGGTGATTCATTTTAAAATGAAATGAATTCTTGATTCATTTGGTACCAAACAGTCTGTTAAGCACCAATACTTTAAAACATAGTAGAAGTGCTCTTATTTTAAAGGATCGACTATTTAGATTAAATGAGTGAGCTCAAACCAACCTAATGATCTTAATGATGAGCTAGGATTTCAAAAAGTCGATCAACTTGTTGAGCTCAAATCCAACTTATTTATTAACAAACAAAGTCTGAATAAGAGAAACCTCGACTTCGACTTGGATTATTACAAACATCTCAAACAACTCATTTACTGTGTCCTTGCGTCCAAAATTCTATTCATTACCGTTAAAGGGATTGGGGGGCGAAAATTTCAGTAACCTTTCACGTTCTTATATACAAACATAAGATCCAGCGGAGCAATAAACTACTGCCACCGCATAAAACCCTGCCTCTTGTACTCTCTCTTTCATGTCCTAACCTATCTATACCTGTCCTTGGGAGGGACGGCTGCGCCTACTGGGACTCAAGGGGCTATTTCTGAAAACTGGGAAATACGTGTCCATTTCCAAGCGTTCCAAGATATCCTGTGTAATCCAGAGATACGACGAATGGCCTTCAATGTACTCAGTAACATCAACCTGCAGCAGTTTCAGTTTCCAAGGAATAGATGGATAAGCTTGATAGCACATCAGTTGGAGGAAAGAAGGAAGACAAGGGAAAGAGCATTTCTAACATTCTCGATTCCTGGGACGTCTATTGGTTGAATCCCGGCTAAGCCTTGTGTAAGCAAACTGTCAAGGAAAGCTAAGTGTTTAGCTTCTTATATAGAATGGTGAATTGGTGATGCCTACATGCATTTGCATGCTTGGTATTTGAACGCAGGCAAAACGTTTATGCTTTATTTATGAAGAAATTTCTACATCACATGGTTGTAAAAACAGATTGCTGACGGTCCCATACCTTGCCCGGAAAGCAATTCCAAGCATCCAATCATTTGTTGAGTAAGCGTTCACAAACCTTCCTGCTACCATCTACCAAAAAAAAAAAAATTTGGAGGAAGCTGAGACATCTTAAGTTAAAGATGATGCTCAATGATGTGGCACAAACTTTTAGGACCCACTCAAGTTTTATGCCAAATTGCAATTCCACTTTCCAATTCAGTTTCAAACATGAAGTTGAATCATCTCCCGAGTTTTTAGGCTACACAAACAGGTTGTAAAGCAAGAATCACCTTTCTCGCAGCTTCCCAGTTCTCGTCTTTAATAGCGATAGGTGCCCCCAAAAGAACAACTCTCTCTACAACTTCAGCTGTAAATTTTTCCGAAGAGCGGGTAATGGGGCAATTAGTGATAAGGATCCATCCAGAGTTTAGCAACAGTGGTGTGAGTAATGAGTGTAATTATACCGTTCCGTTCTGTCTCAGCCAAAGCCTGGAGACACTTCAAAATTACCCGTGCCCCGAGTGAGTAACCCACCAGTGTCACAGGCCTAAGAGAATCAAAAGATGGCGGTGATAAGAACCTACTTTACTTGACTGAATATTGGGGTAAGCAGCATTCAGGGAATATGTATTTGAACGAGCTTACCTATTCCCTTGCAGTCCATTTAGTAGCACTTCAGCCAACAGCTTCCCAGCTTTGTCGGACCTACAAAGGGTCAATTCTGCTAGTGAGATCTGTTACATGCCGTTCTCCGACAGAGAAAAGATGGTTCCATGCACTAACCTGTCAATGGCCATTGTCCATGTACTATCTATGAAACTAGTAGCTGAAAGTAATGTTGTTGGCAAGTATAAGGCTGCCATAAGTGTAGCCATCACAGTCATCATAGCACCTTGCCTCATCAACTGTGATGCAATTGCTAGAAAAGTAGGAACACAGAGTCAACAACAATCACAACTGCACTCAATTGACCAAGCACTCAAATGGAAAAATGCAGTGATTTCATCTATACAGATTACTTGAGGTAAGCCAATCCTGAATTGCAGTGCTCACTGCAATTAGATGCTCAGATTCCCACTGCAGCGCATACCTATAAGTAATCACTTTAGATCCATATAATTTTAGGTGTACAATGATGCACTTCTGAAAAAGTGATGAGTGTGATACAGAATGCAGCAACATTTCTCACCTCTCCAAGTTGTCAATTTGTCCTTCCCAGGGCTTGAAGAAATCCTTCTCATCGAAAATAAATCCTGATATCATGATCTCAACCGCCAGCCGCTGTCAGAGAAATTAGATTATTAACAGAGAACACGCAGATCAATATCACTCAGTTACGGAAAGACAAGTCCAATATAAAAATTTGAAGTTGATTAGCTAATACAAGGCAAAGCTTACGCCTTGGTTATGGCTGTCACCCATGGCTTTAAAGTCAAATTCTTCCACACTACCAGTTCGCCTAGCCATTTTGGTTCCTGCCAGTCCAGCTCCGGCGGCTAACTTAATTGAATGTGCCAAACAGAAGGCCAAAAAAGTAAGATATTCCATCACTTGAAAGATTAGTGTATTACTCCTGTGCCAAAGCGGACAACAACTGGAGAAACTAAAAGCAATCTACTGGTCAAGGACGCGGTGAACTGAAGATTTATTGCCCATACCATAAGGAAGGGATTTTCTGTGTAAAAGATAAGATTGTTTGTAGGGAAATCACTAGATAATCTAAACAAAATCCTCCATAACCTATAAAGACATGAACAACAATGTCTCTTGGGTCAAGTGCTATTGATACCAATTTGACATTGCTAATGGCGACCATTTCATGAGAGACATGCAATCATTGTTTCTTACACGAAGAGGATGGAGGATGAAAGGAGAATAAACCAAGACGTATAAGATTAAACTTGCTTTGGCCATACACAATAATAGACAATACAGACGCTGACCAAACAATCACCTCCGAATGATGCAGCAACAGCAACAGAACCAGCTACAGTTCCTGCGGCGGTTGCAGCTGCTGCAAACCCACTTGCTCCAATCACAGGTATAAGGGTGCCCAGTGTTGGAGCTAGAGCGCCAAATCCTGCTGCAATTGCAGGCGCAGCTAATCCTAAAACAACGGGAACAAAAACAGAAACGGGTTTAATGGTGGGTCTTATGGTTCAAGTCCTATGTTATTGGAAAAAATAAACAGAAATCCAATAAAATGGGCAAAAAGGAACGCAGGTAGCATTACCACCAGTGACAGCCATTAGGGCTCCTCCAGTTATTGCAGCTGCACCAATGATACTGCCACGCTTGATTTTTGCCCATCTTCCTTCAGCTGATGGGGTTTCACTCTTTGCCTCTTGCTGATTCAGTATAGCCATTGCCGAGCAAGCTACCATTGTCTCAACGGCTTCCTATGTAAAAAACAATGGATGTTGAAATCAACTTACTATACAACGTTATTTGACTGCTATTGTTTCACGAGCAAGCAGCAATCACTTTGAGAGTGTGCTAATTGAGAGCAAATATCAATCAATTGAAACGGACCATTTTTATCCAACTGATGTCAAGCCAAGTCGACAGCAATCTCAAAGCCACACGATGCCTAGCATCATAGCCCTTTCTGCGCCTATTACTTGACTTGTTATCATCATGTTTATCTGCCAGGCAAGCTGAGAGAAGCTCATAAAGAACTGTGATTTTCCTGTGGTAACTAATCATCGTTACTTCTTCAATGGGTTTATCATCAACTTTGATCCCAGAGTCTTTATCCAGGCCACGAGGACTATCATAATTAGGTGAACTACTGCCACTTTCTTGTGGTGTTAGAAAGGGTACATTTGGAGCATCAGAATCAGGTTGCCCATTGTCAGAAGCTAATTTCTCACGGCACTCAATTTCATACTCCCTATGTTTCTTTTTCTTAGACATGTAAGAAACATGGATTGTTTCCATGGTTTGTTCAGTAGCATCAACAGCTTTTGCCAGAGCAATCTCTTTCTCTTCATCTTTAGAAGGGGCTGTGCCATCTTCCGCAAGTAACCTCAAGAACTGGAGATATCCAAAGAAGACATAATAATTTCTTCACAATGCTTCTTATGGAAATAACCAACTTTGAGAGAAAACGATGCCAAGAGAGAAACGTACAGCTCCAATATGACGCCTGGCTGCAGCAGAGCCAGCAGTCTCCTCCAGTCCAGACCAAGCTGAAGTATCGATCTCCAGAAATCTATTCAATAGAAAGTATAGTTCAACGGCCAATACCGAAATACAGACTGCTTGAACTGAAACTGTGCTGCTCAATGTAGCATCGGATTCAAACACAACCAGTGTGATTCGTCCTAACAAGGCGAGGGCTATATGAGCTACAATTGCTGAAGTCTATCCAATTGAACAGTGGATCAAGAGCGAATAGAAGCACCATGATCAAGTGACAAAATGAATAGAATTATGAAGCAAGCAGCAGCAAGGGAAGAGGAATATAGACCTGAAAACGATGCGAAGGAGACCGGATTTCTCATGGACCCATAGGTCAGGATCCTCGGAAACGGAGTCGCTACTGCTACTACAAGAACTGGCTCTATCGGCGTCCGCGGGCTCTTCCCCGATGAACAAGCCCAAAGGTCGGGTTTGATGGATCTGCGCCTGGTGAACAGCTAGCGCGAACAATGCTCCGGCAGCGTACCTCTGCGTCGGAGGCAGAATTGACGGACTAGAAGTATCCATAAAATGTAATGGAATTTTCAACCCCGACCGAGAAGCGGCAATCTCTACACATCATTTCTGGTTTCGCAGCTACAGAAAACGTAGTTGAAGAACCGCGGGTCCGAGTTGTCGACACAAAGGTTTTTTTTTTTTTTATCCCCTGGCATGGCCGGACAACAAGATACAAAATACATAATGAACGGTAGCCCATATGCAACCGGATTCCCGATAAAAGAGTCTGTTATGCCACTAGTGGGCAGCTCTATGAAAACTCCAAGGAGCGAAAAGACACGAAGCTGACACGGAAAAAGAAAGAGAGAAAAAACTTCCCTGTAAATGGATACGGCTCCGAGAAGGGAAGACTTCCTCGATGGATCCATGATGATCAGTTGAGAATCCCCACAACATGTGACAATCAATACATAATGAATTATGAGTAAGATACCATCTCGTATCATCACTAAGAACAAGTAATTTTGATATATAAACATTGATAATATCATAATAGGATTTAACAAAAACAATTGAAGGAGTTCCATCACCTTTAGAAGTCAATGGAGTCTGTGGACATTCTTGAGAATTCTATGGTATGAATAAATCACCATGGAAGAGTTAAACTCGAGACTAGCATTGTCACAAGTTGAAGATGCGCTCGACCAAAATAATTGAACATAAAAACATTAAAGAAAGAAAATAATAATAAAAAATACTAACCTGAAACAAAAAGTAAAATGAAATAAAAGAAGAAAGGTCAGGGCTATAAGAATAAAGAAAGCAGGAATGTAAATTGGTAATCTGAACAGCGGAAGGAACAAAATAAAAAAAAACTAAAAATTATAATAATCATGGGAAGTAAAATAAAATTTAAAACAAATGAAAATGAAAAACGGAATTTAAATCAAATCTAATAAAAAATTAAAGATCAAATCAATAAGGGGAAAGCCTAACCTCTGCCACAAAGAAAGCATCTAATTAATCAATAGAGAAATTAAAATAAAATAAAACAAAAAGGGAAAACCGTCAAGCTAATTAAAGAGAATAGGAAGGATAATAAAATCAAGAAAAATGAAGGCTTAATTAACGGAATTCAAAAATACCAGCGCAATCAATAGCTAGCTCTACCACCGGCGGCCACCACCTCTCGTCGACGACATATGACGTAAAGTACCGGCTGAGCAAAGAGACCAACGCTAAACCAGACAACGGTCAAGAAAGGACCATTAGGATTCCATCTCTAGAACTGGACTAGAACAGAGGACGCTGAAACAGACGAGAAACAAAGACCAAGAGTAGGGGAAAGCAACTATAATCGGGAGAGATAATACAAAATAATTAGAATTTGCCACTATTGATTAGAAATAGTAAAGAATGAATCAGAAGAAGTTCCACCAAGAGAAAGCCATAGAGATGACAAGCGTCTAACCAAACCAAAACAGTGGTTTGAAAGCTCCACCAGCGACGGCGGGATTGTTTTCCAATACGGATCTTAATATGCATCACAAATTGCAATTGAAATAATGAAATTGTCGGAAAAGAGGAAGAGCTTCTGGTGGCAGAACCTTCATCGGTGTTCGATGAAAAATCATCAAATGGCAGCTCGCCGCCTCTTCGGCCATGGCCGTCCCGACGCCGCCGACAAGGATTCTCGCCCCTCTTCAGTGGCGGGGCTGATGCGGCCGGAATACACACTCCCTGCTTCCCCGCCGATGGGTTTGACGGAGAACTTCTCACCGACCTACCTCTCCACCGGCAACCCCTGCCTCGATTTCTTCTTCCACGTCGCCCCGACACTCCCACCGGCAGTCTGGTTGATCGGCTCGCCTCGGCCTGGGCTCACGATCCCCTGACCACGCTCAAGCTGATCGGCAATCTGCAAGGGGTCAGAGGAACGGGGAAATCGGACAAGCAAGGTTTCTACACGGCGGCGCTCTGGCTCCACGACCACCACCCCAAAACCCTCCTTTTGAAATAGCAGAATTTATAAGAGCCTTTGGCAAATCTCTTTCTTATGATGCGCCCATGAAATTCTCTGTCGGCGGCGGAGGGGGGATTTTTTCCGGCGCAGCTTCTCCCCACTTTAAATACGAGAGAGAGCTTTGAATTGTCGACACAAAGGTTGAAATAAATATATTGTTGTCAAATTGATCCGTTACAATTCCTCATCCAAACGAACCCTTAAGGTATTTGTATCTGTTTGGTTAATTTGTAACAGTAGGGGTGCAAATCGGCTATTTCGGCTTACCCTCTAAATTAGGGTGCAAGAGAAGAAAGAATGGAAGGGGAAGAGGAAAGGGGAGAGGAAGAGGGGGAATATGAATTTATTCTTTTATTATAATTATTATTATTAATTTTTTCTTATAGTTATAATTAATGTAGCCCTTAACTACTAGACGAGCTCGGAACCTTTCGATTGCACCATCAGGTTTTCGTTTCGTTTTTAGAATCCATTTATTACCTATGACTTTGCAGCCAGGAGGTAAGTCTGTTAGATGCCAAGTCTTATTAGCTTCTAACGATTCCATTTCATCTATAACGGCCTCATTCCAAAAATATGCATCTATGGAAGTTAATGCTTCCTGCAAACTTTTTGGATCTTCGAGGGTGTATACTGTAGTAAAGCCATCACCAAAATCTTTGGAGATTCTAGCTCTTTTACTTCTTCTGAGTTCATCCTCAGCTCTAACACCCCCACTAGTTCCGTTATCTCTAATAGCGGGTAGTACATTACCCCCACTATTTCTCGTTTTAAATGGAAATCGTGTCTCAAAGAATCAGCATCAATGGATTCTATTATAGGTACGAGCATTCAAATCATAGAATCTATATGCCTTGCTATTGGCTGCATAGCCAACGAAGACACATTCATATGCTCTACTAGCCAACTTAATCCTCTTAGGATTCTGAATTCTTACGTAGGTCAAGCAGCCCCACGTTCTTAAATAGGACAGATTAGGTGGCTTATTCTTCAAGATCTCATAGGGTGATTCTTTTCTATTTGTTTTTGGAATACGATTTAGCACATAGCAAACCGTCAACAAAATATCACCCCACCAAGAAGAAGCAGCTCCAGAATTGAGCATGATAGCCACAACTAATTATGTAAACGTCCTATTTTTCCGTTCAGCTTTACCATTCATTTCTGGTGAATATGGTGTCGTGGTTTAATGAAGGATACCATGTGAGCTATAGAATTCCTTGAAGGGATTAGAGTCATACTCTGATCCTCTATCACTCCTAAGTCTTTTTATCTTTCGATTGCATTGATTTTCAAATTCAACCACAAATACCTTGAACATGTCAAGGGCCTCACTTTTGTTTTTCATCAAATAAACAAAGCAATAATCAGAGCAATCATCTATGAAAGTGATGAAGTATCTCTTGCCAGACCTAGTTAACGTCCCATCTAGTTCACAAATATCAGAATGAAGCAGATCTAAGGGTTCTGATTCTCTACTCACAGATTTATGGGGCGTTTTCGTTATTTTAGTTTGGCTGCAAAAATCACATTTATCAAATTCATTCATTTAGAGTTTAGGGATATGTCCTAGCTTGCTGAAATTCTTCACAATTTGTGTGTTCACATGACAAAGACGAGCATGCCAAACATTCAAATCACACACCATGTAAACTGAAGAATTCATCTTATTAATTTCGACATTGAACTTGAACATCCCATTACATGCATATCGATTTCCCACAAAACTCACATTCTTAGTAATGGTATACAAGTCTGCCCCAATAAATTGATTAAACCCAGCCTTATTAAGAAGATATCCCGAAACAAGATTCTTCCTTATCTCTGGAGTGTGCAACACATCCTTGAGCACCATCTTTTTTCCAGAGGTGAAGTGCACCTCCACTTCACCAGAACCAGCAACCATACTGATGTGAGTAGTCCCCAACAACACTTTCTTGTCAGCAGGTGCTTTTGTGTATGTTTTAAGCATAGCACAATTGTTGTACACATGCTTCAATGCACCTGTATCCAGCCACCATCATTCTGAGTCACTAGTGAGGTTGACTTCAACGATCATATCCGTGATCATGGCTATCAAATCCTCTTCTGTCAAGTTAACCCTAGCCGCAGCAGCAAGGTTAGGCTTGTTCCTGCACTTTTTTGCCATATGACCCGGTTACTGCAGTTATAGCAGATAAACGGTGGGTCATTTTTAGAGGTTTGGACCATGACCCTTTGGTTACCTCGAGAGGCACCATTCTGGTGGGGGCAGACCTGCTGGTTCTTACTCTTAAAACCTTTATGGTTAGGTTTAAGAGCTCTAGGAGTAGGTCGTTTAGCAGTGACGAAAATCACCTCTTCTTTCATATCCTGCTTGCGGGACTCTTCCTCAATCCTTAAGGGAGTAATCAAGCTTTCCAGTGAAAATTCTTTGGTTTTATGTCTAAGAATATTCTTAAAATCTTTCCACGAAGGGGGATCTTATCAATAATGCAAGCAACTTGAAATTGATCGTCCAGAGGCATACCTTCAGAGATGATCTATTGAGCTATTTTCTGAAGTTCGTGGGATTGAACTTCGACGGACTTGTCATCCACCATCTGGTAGCGCAGGTAGCGGCTGACAACATACTTCTTAGCTCCAGCCTCCCATGTGTCGTACTTCTTCTGGAGCGCATTCCAGATCATCATTACGGGGTTCTTGCTGTCCGCATAGTAGTCGTAGAGATCGTCTGCCAGGCCGTTGAGGATGTAGTTCTTGCACAGGAAGTCATGCTCCGTTTCCTTAGTAGAAGCAGCCATCTCCTCATCAATCGCTTCTTCCAGTAGCTCGATGGGCATGCTCGTGAGGCAGCGTGCCAACTTCTTGGTCGTCAGGTAGAACTCCATCTTTTGTTTCCAGCGACGGAAGTTGACTCCAACGAAGCAAAAGAGTCGATTGATATCAACAACACCAGATCCGGCCATGTTGTTCTGTTCAGTCGACATAACAGCAGCTAAACGTCTTAAATGTTAGGAACGAAACAACAACAAGAACGAGGTTACCGAATCTAGAGCTGAGTCGCGGATAGGTTGCTTTCTTTAAGATGTTCGCGGCACTGCCCTCGATGCGCACGACAGATGATTAACTGGTCGTCTCCAGGATAAAACAGCTCCTCTCTATACTCGCGGTTATGTGCGAAAACCCGAGTTCTCTGAATACTCTCTCTATTGAGTTTA